CCGTGATTCTGTTGCCTTTTAAGTTTTCTGTAAATCAATAGACCACTGACAACAACCACTGTTGTAGAAGAAACTAGCACACCAACTATCAGTCCAACAGATCCATCTTCCTCCCATCTGTCCTCTCTGTGTCCTCCTGGTGGATCTGTAGGTGAGAAATAGGTGTGAGGGACAGGAACGTGATCACTGAAGCACAGACCAGAATCAATTTCCTCTTCAAACTGCACACACTGAACTCAAACTCACCTGAAGGAACAACACTCAGGTTGATGATATTTATGGGGTCAGTCGTCAGCCAAGTTCTCTTCATTCGAGTTGTTCCTGTCCTCTGGATGATACGACACTCGTATGTTCCAGCATCACTAATCGTCACATCCTTCAGCACCAATGAGACGTCTCCATCTTTCATCTGGCTATCCTGCAGGTCCACCCGGCCCTTAAAGGATGGATCCTGGTAATCTGGATGAAGTTGGTTGTCCCGGTATAAGATCACATACTCGTCTCTCTTCAGGTCAGGCCTGCTCCACTCTACAACTGAGATCAGGATGTCATTGTTTGGAGCTCGACATGGCAGAGTGACGTTCAGTCCAGACTCAGCTGTGATGTTTTTCAGCTCTAAAAGAGGAAACAACACAAAGTAGAGGGGTTAGAGCAACCATTGTATAACTGCTTGCTTCTACAACAGCCAATCACAGTGAGGAGTGAGAGAGACCACTGTTGGGTCAGTGTACCGTGCCTCTGAGACTGTGCTGAGACACAGCAAACTTTGTGGCAGTGACACATAATGATGAGACATTCAGTTGGTTACTGTGGGGTCCAGGTATCGCCTCATGCTACAGGTAATGAAACTGACACTAGCCAAAAGCAAAACTAGTGGGAAAAACCCCAGAAAGGATGAAGAGGGAAAAATGTCCACCTTGTGGTTGCTTCATTGCCTCTCATTCTGTAACAGTCATCAACCGCAGCAAAACAATACCCGGTGGTGTACGTAAATTATGCATGATGAAGTGTTAAAATTTTGATAGATCAGTCCATAGCACCTTCTTCCAGTCTTCAGTACTCTATCGGTGGTGTTTCATGCCACAGGCATGTCTCGTTTTCTTATTCTGACGACTTACCAATGGTTTCTTGTTGTAACTCGCTGTGCTTGAAGTTGGGAAGTTGTGTGAGCCGTCTGTCACATAAGCTGTTGACTCCCAAAAACTTGTCTGTTGATTTTTATTGTGGTCTGCCAGACCTCTTCCTGTCTGAGATTCCCCAGGTTCTGAGTGCCCTTTGATGGTGAAGGGAACTGTACCAACTAACACAGTGACTTTCTTTGCAAATTCACTGTAGGAAAGACTTTTAAACCTTATGATGAGTTGTCTGCCATCCATTGTTAATTGCTTTTTTCTTTCTTTTTCTATAGCAACACACAAATTTCTTCAGTACTTTACTGCAGTACAACTGA